TATTGCTTTTGTGATTTCTTCTAAGACACTGGAAATTGTACTCAAATATTGCTTTTGTGATTTCTTTGGAGGAATTACATCATTGGTCCTAAAGTTTTAATTTTTATACTTATAATTTTGTTACAATGTTATCCTTCCATCACTTATGATTAGTATTTGAAATGAAAAACAATTTATGTGTAAAATTAGAGGGATAAAAGTGAAATTCAAAACAAATTACAAAGACTATCACGGTAACATATTCATTATACCGGTAGTTCTGTAATTTGTTTTGAATTTTACTTTGTTCCCTCTAGTTTTACACATTATTATTTTTATTTAAAATTTTAATAACACATGATAGAAAAATCACATTACAATAAAATTAAATATAACAACTGAATTATTCAAATTAAAACTATAAAAACTAAAATGACATTTCATTCAAATTATAGAGACGAACAAAAAACAAAAGATTGGCTTCCAGTAAACTTCCAATCCAAGAATGAAGCTGCCACTTGCAAAGACATAACAACGTGTTATCAAATTATTTTTTTTCATAAAAAATAATATACAAATCCATTTCTTATATTAGAAAAATGTTCCATTAAAAAAGATGTATAAGAGATAATTGACTAATAATTAAAGATATAAAAAAAATTATTTTAAATATTTTAATTGATTATCATATTATTGTGTTTAAAAAGTGAATTTAATTTTTAAATTTGAATAGTAATTATTTTTTTAATTCAACAATCCAGTCTGGCCCACTGACTACCATGACCTTTAGTAATTTACTATTATTTGTTTTTTAAGTTTTCACTAACCTATAGAAGTTTTATGGACCAATTTTTATTTTATTTTCAAAAGTAAAAATTTTATTGTAAAAAATATTTGGAGATCAATAGTCAAGAAGTCATCCAAAAAAATAAAATTAAAAACAACTTTGGCTAATTATTTTTTAAAATATCACTAATAAATACATTTTTAAGAACAAACTAATTTGGTGCCAAAAATTTATTTTTTGAGACAAGTTTTAGCCATGATCGAATAGTAATTCATCAATTAATATCTAATTTCATTATTAAAAATACAACAATAATTTTTTCTTTCACAAAATATTCATCAATAGTAATTCATCAAAGTTCTAGTCGCAAAAGAATGGTCAAGAAGTCATACAACAATTGTTTTAGTCGCAAAATATCTTTTTGAAGAAAAAAAAATCCAAAAACATGTTTTGTTGAAAATTTTTAGAAAAATATTTCAAAATCGCTTTTCTCTCTATTACATATCAATCAATCATATCTATCTGTTTAAATTTTTTATCTATTAAAATAACAACTCAATTTACTATCTGTTGAAATTTACCAAACATATTTTTCTTATCTGTTTAATTTTTACTCCCAAATACACTTTCTCTCTCATCTCCCATATATCACTACAAAAAATTAAAATTTTAGAGACCAAAATTTAGGAACAAAATTATTTTTTAGGAACCAAATAATTTTGTTGCAAAAAGTGTCATTATTATATTTGTAGCAACAAAAATTAGACATTAGTGATGAATTATTATCCTCTAGGGACCAAATTTTTTGTCTAAAAAAATAAACTATTTTGAGACTAAATTATTTTGTCCCTAAAAGTCTATGTATCAGTGACATTTTGTCTCTAAATAAGAAAGAGAAAATTGAGTAGCTCTCTATGATAATCACAATTGGCAGTGGTTATATTTCCAGGAGGAAATGAGGGGTTGGGATATGCCCAAACAAACGTATGTACTCGGATTGGAATTTTCTTTGGGGGAGTTACATCATTAGTGCTAAAGTTTAAGTGAAGTGTTATTTTAATTTCTGTAGTTTTAATTTTAATAATTTAATCTTTACATTTAAAATTTTGTTATAATGTTGTATTTCTATCACTTATGATTAATTGGTATTTGAAATGAAAAACAATTTATTTGGATTAAAATTAGCATTCCAAATTTGGAATGCTAATACCTTTTTTTTTTAGATACATCGGAAACGAAAACAAAGCAAAACAAGGCATAAGCCCTTTCCCTAGGAGTTCTAACCATGTCTGCAACAAGCAGACTCCTTAACTCAGCTGGTGGCTCATTTACCACCAGAATGTCCTCAGGTTTCTCAGCTCCAAACTTGGCAAGAGCATCAGCACATAGATTACCCTCCTTGAACACATGTTGCACCGTGCACTCACAACTTTGCCTGATGATCTTGGCATCTTCAAGAAGTCCTTTGAAAGGAGAATTTGCCTCAATCTCCTCCTCCAAGAGCTTTACAGCTTGCATGGCATCTGTTTCAATAATAACTCTGTTCCATCCTCTCTGTAGAAACACTGTAAGACCTTTATAAATGGCCCATAATTCAGCTTCAAGGCTGGTCCCAGTATGTAGTCTGCCATAATACCCACACAACCATGTTCCAGCTTCATCTCTGAATAAGCCTCCAAAACCTCCATTTCCACCTAATTGCCTGTAACCATCTGTGTTGAGCTTAATGGTACCTGTAGCGGGAAGGCACCATATAACTAGTTTAAAAGCTAGTCTTGCACTTACAATATTCATATTAAAAGCCTGGTTAATTTCCTTGGCATAAGACAAGATATACTTCACACTTTCTTGGCTGGTGGTTGACAGATGGTCAAAAATTTTTGAATTTCTATTTTTCCAAATTTTCCAAAGGCAAACAACAAACACAGAATACCAGCAGAAAAGATCACTAAAATGTTTTTTATTTCTAGAATTAAAGATAATCCAATCCAGCCAAGGGGTTTGAAGCATATCCAGATACCATTTCCTACCAAACATTACTAGCCAAACAGCTTTGGCTTTGTAGCAGGTTCTAAAAAGGTGATTCAAATCTTCTACTTCACTGCAACTAGGGCATCTGGGATCAAAAGTGAGTCCCCTTCTTTCTCTCATTTGGTTAGTTAAGAGCTTGCCATGAAGAGCAGTCCACAGAAAACTTTTCAATTTCTATGGAAGTCTCAACTTCCAAAGCCAATTCCAGTCCACCTCTAGTCCCATACTCCCAGCGAAAATATTATAAGCACTAGAGTAGAACCCCTCCAAGTAGGTAAATCAATAGAAGAGAGCTGTGGTGAAGGTAAATTAATAACCAGAGTTGCAATACAGGAAGGGATGTCAAGTAGCTTCACAGCATCCCAGTGACCCTGATCACTGAGAAAGTCATTGACTTTAACACCATCAGTCTCATTGACATAAGATTGAAGTGTGTTGGGCACAATCTCCACAATAGGCTTGTTGCCACACCACCAATCTTTCAAGAAATCCACAGTTCTACCACAACCAATCTCCCATTTCACATCTTTCCTCAAGGTGTTTCTGGTTTTCAAAATGCCCCTCTAAACATGAGAGGTAGATCTATTTCTAGACCCCTCATACAAATTAGATGACTTAAGATATTTACTCTTAAGAACATCTTTCCACAAGGCTTCCTCCTCACAAATCAACTTCCAACTCAACTTTACAAGAAGAGCTAGATTTTGATTCCTAGCTTTCCTGATCCCAAGACCACCAAGTTTCTTAGGTTTACAAACATCATCCCACTTGACTAGATGAATTCTTTTCTTTCCCAGGATCTCACCCCACAGAAAACTCTTGTTCAGTCTATCAATCTCATTGCATACTTTGATAGGCAATTCCATAGTCTGCATTGTATATGCAGGTAATGCAGAGCTAACAGACTGGATAAGAGTTGTTCTTCCAGCTAAGAAAAGAACACTAGTTTTCCAGCCAATTAATTTCCTTTGCATCTTTTCCAGGATGGTGTTAAAATGACCTCTATTCACTCTACCATGAATAAGAGGAACTCCAAGGTATTTCCCTAACTCAGAAGTCAAGGGGATACCACAATTAGAGCTCAATTCTCTAGCCTTTCTCCTGTCAATATTAGAGGAAACAAACAATTTGGACTTGTGGACATTAATTTTCAAACCAGAAATCTCACAAAATTCATTCATAACAGTCATAATTATATCACAGGTAGAAATATCAGCCTTAGCAAAAAGCATTAGATCATCAACAAAGAATAAGTGGGTCAGGCATGGTCCTCCTCTAGCAACATGTATGCCCTTCCACTCCTTATTCTCAGCTTTAGTTCTAATCATATTGGAGAGCCGTTCCAAACACAACACAAATAAGTAAGGGGAAAGGGGATCCTTTTGTCTGAGCCCTCTTCCAGGTTTAAACTCTTGAAGAGGTTCACCATTCCATATGACAGCAGTTGTCACAGAAATCACACAACACATCACAAGCTCAATAAAGCTAGTTTTAAAATTCAGCTCTCTTAAAGTTTGCTCCAGGAACTCCCAAGAGATGTTGTCATAAGTTTTCTCAAGATCAATTTTAAAAATCATGCCCCCAACTTTCCTTTTCTTATGGTTTAAGGTATGGATAGTTTCTTGGGTTATAATTATGTTGTCACTAGTGGATCGACCAAAAACAAAACTACACTAGTTAGGACTGACAATTTTTCCCAAGAGAGGTCTGATTCTCCCAACAATAATTTTGGAAATAATCTTGTAAGACACATTACAAAGACTGATGGGTCTAAACTGTTTGATAGTTTCAGGATTCTCCAGCTTAGGGATAAAGGCAATAAGGGTTCTATTGATCTGAGGTGGAATGCAGTTATTAGCAAAATAGTGTTTAACAAAATCACAAACTGAAATGCAGATAGTTTTCCAATAAGTATGATAGAAAACAGCTCGAAAGCCATCTCTACCAGGGGCTTTGAAGCCCTTAATATTTTTCACAGCCTTCTAGATTTCCTCACTATCAATCTCCTTAGTGAGCTCATCATTCTCCTCTTGAGTGATCAAATGGGGAGTAATATTATTCCCATGATCAGGAGAAATTGTTGGAGTACACTCAAACAAATTCACAAAATAATCCATAATCATGTTTTTTAGGTCATCCACATTATCAATCCACATGCCTCTCTCATCCTTAAGGGTTACAATTTTACATTTCCTCCTTTTGGTCAAGGTAGAGAGATGAAAGAACTTGGTATTTCTGTCCCCCTGGGTAATCCAGTTGGACCTAGATTTCTGAAACCATAATAATTCCTCTTGGTAGAGGACTTTATTACATTGTTCAAAAGGTTCATCTCCAGGAGATAGAGGTTATGGGAGTAATTATGGATTTGAGATTTTTGGATTCCCTCAATCCTCCCCAATAGCCATCTCTTATTTCTAAAAATGTTCCCAAATGTCTCTTTATTAATATTCCACACACTAGCATTGAGAGCTAGATTCTCAAGCTTATCAACAAGAGAAGGAGGGGAGTGTTCCCAGTTACTTTCCATCACAGACAAAAAATCCTCATGCAAAATCCAAGCAGCAATAAATTTGAAGGATTTGGGAGAAGGGTTAAAGGGGGACTTACCTTGGGTGAAAATCATCATCGGAGAATGGTCTGAATAAGTACGGGGTAGATTTTGAACCAATCCTTTAGGGAAAGTGGTTCGCCATTCAGTATTACATATAGCTCGATCCAGTCTCACCATAGTATTGGCCCATCCTTGTCTGTTGTTTGTCCAGGCCAATCTTGGTCCTGTACATCCCAAGTCCATCAGATTATAGCTGTTTATTCTATCTATGAACTTTTTAGTTCTTCTTTGGTCCTGACTCTAGCTTTGACTCTAAGTCCCGGATAAGCTTCTCTTTTCTGACTGAGTAGCAAAGTCGTTGAAGTCAGCTGCTAAAAGCCATGGCTCATCCATGATTTAAGAAAGAGTTTCCAGATCTTGCCAAAGTTCATTCCTCTTACTGTTGTTAGGGCTAACATAGACGGCAGAAAGAACCCAATCACTGTAGTTTTGTCTAGAAATCCTAGCAGTTATTAACTGGGAGTTGGCCTCAGTGACTCTCACATTCACAGTGCTAGGGTTCCAGATCATCCAGATTCCCCCACTCCTTTCAATAGGGTCCACATGGACAGAAGTAGTGAACCCCATTTGGTTGAAAAATATTCCCATGGAACTAAACTCCACTTTGGTCTCCAGAAGAACTATTAAATCTTGTTTATGAATCTGAACTAGCTCTTTCATATTTCTCTTAAATCTCTTGTTACCAGCTCCTCTGCAATTCCAAAACAAAAAATACATACGTACTTGATTACGTTGGGGAAGAGGGGTCTGTTCTGATAAGCTCAGAATGCCCCTTGCTCTGCTATGATTGTCTGCCATCGACAGTGGAGAGGTTACTGAGGCATAGTGCATGTCCTGCCCTACTTCTATCTATCTCCATGGCTGGATCCTCATGTGTACTTCCTCTATCCACCAATCTATGGTGACGAGGTGAAACACTTATCTCCCTAGTGTGAGCATCATCATTACTCTATTCTGAACCAACCTGTGGTGCACCACTGGATAATTCTCGCCCTCATCTTCCTCCATTTTTGTCCGGTGGTTTCCTGGATCTAGATCGAGAGCTAACTTCCCTACTGGCGGTAGAAATGGTATGGGTAGAGTCAGGTGGATTAGTGGGAGTGATAGGTGATGGGTTATTGGGAGGGATGAGAGCTACTATATTAGACGTAAAGTTGAGTAAGGGTGTGGCAGTGTTAGTACTAACCTCAGAGCCATGGCTACGTGTGCTGTCCTCAGTTGTTCTTTTCTTGCCCCAGCTGGTTTCTTCTCTATTCGTGAGCTTAGCTTTTCCTGATTTACTTTCACCTTTATCTGGTGTACTCTCTCCTTTTCCTTTGCTATCATACATGCCTTTATTTTTTTCCTTGTATCTAAAGCCCTGTTCTTGTTGGGCCAGGCTCATTGGTTCCTTATTCTTCCCACCATGGGCCTTATGGACCGTAGAATGATTTTTTTCCTCTTGCAGACTACTAAACCTATTTCCTTGTTGTATAGTGTTATCTTTTTGAGGCCTAGGGCCCTTCATATGTCTTTTTTGATTAGTAACCTTCATCCATTGCCCATATCTAATTTGGCTTGGTCTACCCATTTCAGTATCCCTGGTAAAACCCAGCCCAGTCTGAGCATCATCTTCTTTACCCTGGTTTCCTTCTCCGGCAGCATCATACCGCTGTTTATCTGCCTCCTTCGTTGGGATTTCAGTGCAAACGTGCTTCACATGTCCTACCCTGCCACAAGAGAAACAAACAGAATATAAATGTTCATATTCTATAATATAAGTTATTCTTACCAATAGAGAATTGGGAGACGAGGGGCTTTCGCAGATCTACTTTAACACAGACTCTCGCATATCTTCCTCTAGATGCCATAGCTGTGTTAATATCAACCTTCAATGGAACTCCTAGGACCTTGGCAATGTGATATAGGACTTTCTCATTATAGTATTCTATGGGTAAATTCGAAAATCGCACCCATAGAGCTGTGGTATCTTCTTCAGCCTCATCGGATTTAAAGTCTTGTTGCCATTTCCTAACCATTACATAATGATCCATGACTATCCATGGCCCACCAGTATAGACTCTGGTATAGTCTTCAACCATGTCAAATTTGACGATAAAGAATCCATTCCCAATGTCTAGGGCTTCAAAATCAGCTTGAAGGCCCAAACACGGGTCATTTTTGCCATGAACATCTTGTAACCAATTTTTTTCCCCAACAATCTGACAATCAAGCATTTTTTCCAAGGTTCCCTAATTTTTCGCAAAAGGGCTATTGGGATCTTAACCCTGGGAACTTCTTCTACTGCATCATCAGGAACTTCTTCCTCCTCTGCGAGGTCATGTTCGGCTTCTTCTTCATCAGATGATATATCCTCCATATCGCAATCAAAATTTTTTTCATTCCCATTCTCATTAAATCTAGATCTGAGGAGTGCTTGCTTGAAGGATTTCGCTTGATCTGATTTGCCTTTGTTAGTAGTATTCAGGTCGCCATCATTAAACTTGGTGACTCCTGTTTCAGACATTGAAACATCAGTGGGAGCAGGGTGTGAGAAATCCTTCGGATTTGCTCCCTCTACCGATTGATGGTCTTCTATAGTTTCATCAATTGTCTTTGAGGTACTTTTGATTTTCTTAGTGCTTCGAACAAGATGGTCTTCTTCCTCAGTTGAGCATCCATGGGAGAGTTTCACCTCACTAGCAGCCAGAGCTTCTGTAACGGTCATTTTCTAGAGAGAGAAAATTGCTAACTTCTAGAAAGAGACATTGAATGCTAATACCTTTTACAAGTTTGTCAATGTTTGGGGACAGGTGGTTACGTTGGATGAACTTACTTCTCATGGTTCATCTAGTAATTATCAACTCCTCTCATCGCTCACATTTTGTCAAATTGGAGATGCATATGGTTCAAAAATAGTGATTTTCATATTTTTATGGTTACTTCTTAAATGGTGAGGTATTTGTTACTCACCAAAACTTTTTATTTTATTTATTCAACGTTATTAGAACATACAGTTCACATATTTTACTATACCTACGAATTATCCATTGAAAGATTTGACATGCAAGTAAAATACTTGTATTTTAGGGGGGGAGGAATATCCTTTAGTATTTTTTTTAATGTAATTTTTTTTTCTTTCTTTTTTTGGTCCACCTAGTGTAAAAGAATAAAAGAAAGTAAAAAGTTTTTAAAAATTTTTTAAAAAGTTTTATAAAGACAAGGCAAAAAAATTTTCTTCAGTGGACATTTTGTCCTTTTTTTAAAAAAAAAATTTAAAAAATAATAATAATAATTGGTGCATCCAAATTTAAGCTCTGTTTGGTTTTGGCTTTTTGGCTAAAAAAGCATAAAAGACAAAATTGGTTACATAAGTCAATAAGACAAAATGTCACATCAAAATCATATTCATTACATTTTTTCTCTCACAAAAGTCAAAAAAGTCAAAAACAAAAACCAAACAGGTTAAAATAGCCAAAAAGTCAAAAAGTCAAGCTATTTTAGCTCTTCCCAAACGAAGACTTGGTAGAGCCTAAAAATGTAAAAAAAATAAAATAAATTAAATTAAATAAATTTCACTGAAGAATAAAAAAAAATTATAAAAAAAAAATCAATCCCAAACAACAATATTTGCCATTTTTAAAAAGGTATTGCATAAAATTTAAATAAGTGTTAGGGTATCTCCAACGGTGCATTACTTGTTTTACTAAATTTGAGTGAAAACTCTTTTTGATATCGCTTGCTCCAATGGAGGAATTTGGCTTTTTATCAAACCACCGGTCAACCGGCGCGGTCGACCAACCAATGTAAATTTTTATAATATGGCACAAGAAACAACACCAATGACCAAAATGATAAGAACTTTTGATCTTCTTGAGAGGACTTTTATAAACCCACCTCCCCTCCCTCTCACCTCTCAAATCTCACACAAAACAATCCTCTCCTTTTTCAGCTTCTGATTCTATTTCATGTCTTTACCATTCATTGATCACCAAACAATAGTGAAACAAGCAACACCTTCTGCTCCTCCTCAAAGCCCCTCTCTCTCTCTTTGAGATTTGGGATAGGTTTCTTATGTTTTGTTCTGTTTTGGTTTGAAAGTATTAGCAATTGAAAACCAACCCAGATTTGAAAAATTGGGAATTGTTTTTTTAAATCTCTAACCAAATTACGATCTGAGTATTCAAATTTACTACTGTTTCTCAATTGGGTTTTCAACAAACTTTGATTTTAATCTTGTTTCTTCTTTTGTTTTGGTAACCCATCTCAAAAAATCTCTCGACCTTTGGGACTTAAATATTTGTTATTGTCTATGTTTGATTATTATTTATTTCACAAACCCTTTTAGGCAAAAGGTTGCAGTTATTTTTTTTATTTTTTTTTGAGTGCGCGCAATATACAAAATTAAATCCTAAAACCATTTTGATTCAATATATTTCGCATTATCTCCAATTTATTGATTGTTTAATACCATTGATGAACCCTATTCAAGGAGTAGAGTATTTCTAATTAGACATTTGCAAATACCTTATAAGTTTTGGCATCAAGACTTATTTGCCTAACCGCTACAATTGCTTCTATGACTCCAATTAACGGGTCATCTGAGGGTCGATCGGCCAGTGTAAAATTTTCACAAATTTTTTCCTTGAGGTGGTCATCTGGAAGGACATCTGGAGGGATATCTGGTCGTGAAAATACAACGGTAATGAACAGTGATTTGATGAAAGGCACAAAGCATCTTCAATTTGGTGAAACATTTTTGATATTTTCAATTTAATATATGTTTGAGGAAACTGTTGGAGTAGAAAAAAATGATACTTTTTACCAAATTTAAATTTAGTGATGGATTTGGTACACAGTTGGAGATAGCCTAAGCAATATTTTGAAAACTAGGCCGGTGAGTGAACCGGAAAAGGAACCGGGTGGACGGGTCATTAGTTCAACCGTTGGGTCGAAGCGGTCAAACCGCGACGCCATAATTAATATTATATAATTATAAACATAATTATAAATTATAAATAAATAAAAATATATATAATTACTGAAATAATAAAAAAAAGAATTGCATAATATTTTCTAATAATATTTAATAAAGTCATAATTGATAAAATAAATAAAAAAATCACTAGTTTTAAAGAAATTAAAAAATTTTAACATTCTCTCCAAACAAATTGATTGAATGCTAGATTTAATTTTGGAGGGAAATGAAATTTTCAACTCTCCCTCCAATCAAATATGATTCAAACAATTTGATTGAATTCCACATTGAATTTTTAGGTTCTCTTTAAATAATTTTTTTCCTATAAATAGGAATAGACTTTCATAATTTCTTCAAGCTTCCAATGAGACTTTCCTCATGAGAGAAGACTCTTAAAGTAAGAGTTTAAAAAAAACCCCACTAGGTTGGTCGAGAATCGGCACCGGTTCGTCGGTTTTATCGATTGATCTACCGATTTTTTTGATTTTTGCAAACAAGGCTGGTTTTTGGCCTAGTTGGATTTTTGGGGATTTTTCGAACTGGAACTAGGTTCGGTCATCAGTTATACCGGTTGAACCAGCAAGTCTAATCCGGTTCTTAAAACATTGGGCCTAAGTATATGAAATTCCATCTGACATTTAAATTTCATTTAGGAAGAGCTAATTTAGTACGACTTTTTGACTTTTTAACTAATTTAGTCTGGCTAAATTAGCTCCATTTAGGCAGGACTTTTGATTTTTATTTTTTTTGGTTTGGGTGTAATGATTGTGAGAAAAAAAATAGAATAATTATATTTTGAATGTGACATTTTATCTTATTGATTTATTTAGCCTATTTTGTCTTTATATTTATTTACACAAAAAACAATTGTTACCAAACGGCAACTTAGTGGTCAAATTGTTGTCAATATAGGCAAGTAATCTGTACATAATATATTTTTCCTCTCGATTGCAGTGACCAACTATGATTGAACCCAGCTTCTCCAACAAGTCCATCTCTATTAACCCAACCCTAAATTGCCTTTGACAATGCCTTTAGACTGTGTTTAATTAGGAAATTTGAAAAATGGTTTAAAAAAATAAAAAGAAAAGATAAGTGAAATATAAATAAAATATATTTATATTTCATTTAGTTTCATATACCGTTTGTCTTTTTCTTTTTTTAAATCTTTCTAAATCTGTTAACCAAACGCAATCTTATTTTGGGGAGTGGCTATTTTAGCCAAAAAGTCAAAAAGTCAACTAAAATTTGTCACATCACCTCTCTACCTTTCTGCACATCTTTTCGTAAAAAGCCAAAAAGTTATTAAAATAACATGTTCCCAAACGAGGACTTAGTGTTATTTTTGAAGTTATTTGCCAAACGATGGACTTTGTGCAATTGAAGGGAGTTTATAGGTCAAGGCCCAAGTGCCGAATAGGGCTGTAAATAAGTAGCAACGAAACACGTAATTTGGGCCTATTTGAAAGTGGAGTGAGGATGAATGGACCGGGGTGTTTGCGAATTTAGCCCAACAGATTATTAACATTGATAAAGATCAAGTTGGCCCAATGTCTCAACAACATCTTCTTGGGGGATGAAACTCAGGCCTCGTTTGGCAAGAGGCTATTTTAGCCAATTAGTCAAAAAGTTACTAAATTAGCCAAAAAGTCAACAACCCATACTAAAAAGTCAAAGATTCTCTTTTCTCTCTACTTTTTGCACATCTTTTTCGTAATTAGCCAAAAAGTCATCCCAAACATACAAGTTTTTTTTACCTACCTTTTTAGTCAAATAGCTAAAAAGTTACTAAATTAGCATGTTCCCAAACGAGGCCTCAACAATATGAAAAGCACATGTGACAATGTCAGAAATAAATTTAAATAATTCGTTCATACGAGTCTCAATTGAGCTCCACATAAATGGACGGCCCTAATTTGTATGTGGCATATATTGGTGGAGGTTTTGTTTTAGTAATAAAAATAAATAATAAAAAAGTTCACTTTACCTCTTTATATAAATAGGTTTGACATTTTATCTTTTATCTTTTATCTTTTAAAAATAGTCAATTAATTCTAATGTAAATTTAGACTTAATTGTAACACTAATTCTATTAATATCAGTGGGAAAATGGTGGTAAAACCTTTTATGTTAATCCTTAGTGAAGCAAAAATTTTAAAATGAATTATCAATTAAGAAATTTAATGTTTTCCTCATTTTTTAACTAATTTCTAACTTTTTAATTTCATTTCTGATTTAATCATATTGAATTCACATATATAAACAAGGGTCATGTTGTGTCCTCGAAAGGTGTGTACCATATAGAAGTTATGATATTTTTGAGATTAATTATCACAAATGTCATAACCGAATCCTTATCGGTCATAATTAAAAAAAAAAAAAAAGTCATAATCAAACACTACAAAAGATATAATTGAAGTTCTTTTGGACTATAACTAAAATAATGTCATAAGTAGTATCACAACGAGTCATAATTAACATCACAATGTGTATAACCATATCATAACTAACATCACAATATATCATAAACAAAGATTACAAACGTTATAACTGGGACATATGATACACATATCATAGATCAATTTCCCTATTGATTTTTTAATTTGTAAAATGTCATTTTGAATAACAAATTTAAAAAAAGGTTCAAATAATTGAAATAAAAGTTGTGTTGGTTGGGTCTCACAATCCAAGCATAGCAGTAAGGTTTAGATTTTGAATTTTAGAGAATCCTTTGTGGTAGATTCCTGTAGTATATAATTTTGGAGGGTGTTGTTCAAGTCAATGGGACTCATCATGGGCTTCATGTTGATCATTTGAATTATTCATTTTGTCAGCCACTTCATATATACCATCCACACAAAAAATTAGGTTGATTCGATAATTATAATTTATTCAATTTATTACATTTGTCACTAAAAAATAGATGATAATTGTTTTTTTTAGAAATAAATGTCTTTTTTTTTTATGACAGTCACAATAAATTGAATATGTTACGATTATCGGATTAATTTAATTTTGTGTGTGAATAATATATATAAAATTTTTTATAAAATAAATAATTCAAATTATCGAAATGAGACCCAACTCCATAGACCGGAACAACACCTTTCACTCCATGTAGATGACTAGAAGGAGCCCAGCCCTCCTCGAATTACGCACATAGTAATTACTTCAATTATCAAAGCTATGGTTAGTTGATAGAACCAATAGGACTATTACTCGTGTATCAGCCGAGAAGGATTATAAAAAAATTTCTAAAATTGACAATGGAGCTAAGAATGATTATATTGATCTTTTTTTTGCTTGTAAATTACTAAGACGTTAGACTTTGCACTGAGAACGATTATAATATCTTTACTTAACTATCATCTTGAGTAATTTTTAATATTATTGAACATCAAAGCCTAATTTTTAAAAGTGAAGTAAACCATATTAGTTTTCTATTTGTTAACTCAAAAACAAATTTTGATTGACTGGAAATGGTATTAACAATTTCACCTGGTCAATGATCATTAGTGATGATCCATGTATCTTCTTTGTTAGACACATATACCTTGTTCGTTTAGCTAAACAACTTATGTTATAAATCCATTTCTTCTAATTTCTGGGTTTAGCTCTAAAGAGAAAATGGATGAGAGATTGATAGGTGCTGCTCAAACTGGTGATGTAGAAACTCTGTACAACTTAATTCAAGGAGACCCTTTTGTTCTTGATAAGATTGATCAAGTCCCCTTTGTGGACACTCCTTTACATGTTGCTATATCAGCCAACCAAATTTGTTCCGCGGATCTGTTCCGAACGGTCAGGATCTTGACGGGCGCAACATCACCGTTGACGAAGCCCAGTCCTGCGGAAGCGGTGGTGGCGGAGGCGGGGGGTTCCCCGGTGGTGGTGGATGTCGCTGATGGAACGAATGTTGATGATGTTGATCATGGCCTTGATGTTTGATCATGGCCCTGATATTTGATGATGTATGGCCCTTTTTCTGTAATTTCACATTAATAAATTACCAACGTTGCCCAGCAGTTACACACACACGCGTACAATGTATATGTTTTCAATGGTCAATTCCCTTACAATGGGACTGTCCAGTTCATAAGAAAACATTTGGGACTAAACAGTGTATAAGTTATTAATTTGGGATTTATTGGTGCATGCTAGGAAAATTTACCCATAAGTCCTAGTTTCTGAAAAGTTGAACCATTTAGTCCTGGTAGCGGGTGGTGGATGGTGGTAACAGGTGGGTGGTGAGTGGTGGTGCCGGGTAGCGGGTGGTGGCGGGTGGATGGCAGGTAGGTGGTGGGTGGTGGAAGGGTGGTGGTGGCGAGTGGGTGGTGGCCGATGGTGGTGAGGGGTGGGTAGTGGGTGGTGGCGGCGGAAGATGGTGGTGGTGGGGGACGGTGGCGGGTGGTAGCGAGTGAGTGGTGGTGGTGGCGGGTGGCAGGTGGTTGTGGCAGGTGGGTGACGATGGCGGGTGGTGGCGGGTTGGATTCACATCATTATGAACCTAAACTTATGAATTTGTATTTTTATTTTTTGGCCAAATTTATAAACTGAGACCACTGATTTATAAATCAAAAATTTACCAAACAAGTTTTTATTTGAGTTTTTTAAATTTTTGTAAATATCAATAGAAAACTGAAAACATAAGTGTTACCAAACGGCACCGTTATGATTATCGGATCAATTTAATTTTGTGTGTGAATAATATATATGCAATTTTTTATAAAATAAATAATTCAAATTATCGAAATGAGACCCAACTCCATAGGCCGGAACAACACCTTTCACTCCACGTAGATGACTAGAAGGAGCCCAGCCCTCCTCGAATTACGCACATAGTAATTACTTCAATTATCAAAGCTATGGTTAGTTGATAGAACCAATAGGACTATTACTCGTGTATCAGCCGAGAAGGATTATAAAAAAATTTCTAAAATTGACAATGGAGCTAAGAATGATTATATTGATCTTTTTTTTGCTTGTAAATTACTAAGACGTTAGACTTTGCACTGAGAACGATTATAATATCTTTACTTAACTATCATCTTGAGTAATTTTTAATATTGTTGAACATCAAAGCCTAATTTTTGAAAGTGAAGTAAACCATATTAGTTTTCTATTTGTTAACTCAAAAACAAATTTTGATTGACTGGAAATGGTATTAACAATTTCACCTGGTCAATGATCATTAGTGATCATCCATGAATCTTCTTTGTTAGACACATATACCTTGTTGGTTTAGCTAAACAACTTATGTTATAAATCCATTTCCTCTAATTTCTGGGTTTAGCTCTAAAGAGAAAATGGATGAGAGCTTGATAGGTGCTGCTCAAACTGGTGATGTAGAAACTCTGTACAACTTAATTCAAGGAGACCCTTTTGTTCTTGATAAGATTGATCAAGTCCCCTTTGTGGACACTCCTTTACATGTTGCTATATCAGCCAACCAAACCCATTTTGCAAAAGAGATTGCAAGCCTCCAACCATCATTTGTAGTCAAGCTAAATCAGTATGGGTATAGCCCCATTCACTTGGCTTCAATGGTTGGACAAGCAGAGATTGTGAAAGAGCTCATCACAATTGATCCCAAACTCCGCCTTCTAAAGGGACGAGAGAAGACAACTCCGCTTCATTGCGCTACCATGGCTGGCCACACCGATGTCATCAATCTCTTGCTCGACGGTTGTCCACAGTCACTTGTGGAGTTGACAATTTGGAATGAGACTGCACTTCACTTGGCAGTGAAGAGTAACCAATTGGAAGCATTTAAATTGTTGTTTGAGTGGCTGCAAAAGCTTCAAAACATCGAGGTTGGTGCCTCTGCCATTTTGCTTGCATTGGAAAGTGCCAAATTACAACGGTTAGGAATGCAATTAAAATTGGCACGATTTCTCGATAAGAAGGAAGTGGAGAGGTTGTGGTGTTCCTTTGCTTGCAGTAAGAGAGAAGTGGAAGACTTCAAGATAATAAAGGATGGGCTCGAGAAAATCAAGAGGGAAGAGGTGTTGAACTGGAAAGACAAAGAAGGCAACACTATTCTGCACCTTGCAACATTCACCAAGCAATATGAGGTAAATCATCATACCCCATCATGGCCCTCTGGTTTTAGATTTTCTTACTGTACTATAGTTTTTTTCTTTTCACTCGCCTATCCAAGAAAATTTTATGGAGTATTTTTTGTTTCAAATATTACATATTTGAAGATAATTTGAGAAGTTTCTTCTTTAGCACATACAGAACAAGGAGATTATTCAAGAAATGGAAAATTTACATGGCTAAAAGTTCTTTAAGTTGTTGTTGTTGTTGTTGCTGGGTTTTTTTATTTATTTATTTATTTTTATTTTTTTTTAGAACAGGGCAATTGGTTTCGCTTAATTAATTGCCCTGCTTTGTTACAACTTGGAAATGACCTACTAATATTTTTTTGTCCTGCCTACTAACTTTAATTTAAGTTCTATGGACTTGACCAATATTGATTATAGTTTGGGCATAGAATTAAAACTGCCAATACATCATCTTGGTGAAGGAAAGCAATCAACCAGTAGTTAGATTGAGCCTAACTCCCTAAAGTTATAGTGTGGTAGATTTAGGTTAATTGGGAATACGTTTTCCATTTTTTTAAATGAAAAACATTTTCTACTAAAATAAATTTCTTTTTGGTTGATCACAAAAAAAGTTTCCATTAGCTTTCGTTTTTTGTTATACAAAATGCCAGAAAATACCGAAAATTCTTTTAGGAAAAAAATGTCTTGGACTGAAACAAAAAAAAAACATAAAACTACATCCTTTGTTCCATCTTGACTTAAAAGACATTGATGACTGTTCTGGATTTAGTAATTGACTCCATTTTTGCATGATTTTCTTAATAAAAATGCTTTCCATATTTACAGATAATTAAGATATTACTTAGCAAGAATCCAGCACCCGGAACTCAATTGGATGTAAATGCTGTCAATGGAAATAATCAGACCGCTCTTGACATCTTATTCCAACTTCGAAGAGAGAAAGAAGACAAAGAAATTGAAACTATCCTTCGTCAAGCAGGCACAGTGACTGCTGGACAGATAATCACCCCACCACCATCCACCACTACAACGACACCACCCAAAACCTTCGAACTAAAAGGCCATCCCCCGCCAATCAACTCTAACAACATTATGATTATTGCATCCATTTTGCTTGCAATAACATGCTTTTTAACTGGAGTCTACCCTCCTGGCGGTGTTTGGCAATATGATTACAAGTCAAGTTTCAACACTACTACAACAACAGAATACAAAGCTGGAACAGCAATAATGGCTGCATCGACTATATCTGTATTTTTCATGTTTTTTAATTTGTTTGGGTTCTTTGCCTCTTTACTCATAATCTGTGTCCTCATTAAGGGTTCTCCTTTGCGCTGGTTGTTCGTTGGAGTGGTAGCAGCATTTTCAACAGCATACTTGCTTGCATTAGCTCTTATAACCCCTGATGAAAAGTTGCCTACAATTCTAAACATCTTTTTTTCTACATTGGCCATGTTTGTCTTCCCTCTTGCCATGGAAGCTTGGATTCATTGCAAGAAGTGTAAAGGGTCACATGTGACAAATGGAGAAGTCAGAGTGAAAGGGAAAGTTGTCACACCCCATGGCTTGCTGGCCTAAAATCAATGATCAGATGGTAGAAAGATATAGCATCCCTTGTTGGAAGCGATTTTTAGAAACAATATGAACCCTAGCAACATCAATAATTAAGGAACATCCTTTTGGCAGGGTGTATAAATAATGGAGCTGCTAGGTTTGTTATTGTAAAGTAGGGGTATTTCTATGTGTATAAAGTACGAAATATTACTATATGATATAACATCATAATTCGTGGTTTTTCGCTACGCGATCTAGTTTCTTCTTTTCCATTATCCTCCAATTAATTGTGCGTCTTTTGTTATGTATGAATTCTCATTTTGTATGTTAAATGTAGTTTTGTTTATATAAATTCATTACCATTAGAATTCTGTAACTTCATGGAAAGAAAAGAAAATTATACCAATGGTTCCATACTTTACCTTTTATGTCAATTTATTACATGTAATTTCAATTTCGTTAATTTTTTCCTTGCATTATTGAATGTCTCTAATTAGTTCTACTGTTAAATGAATAAAAATCACAGTGTACAGCTACGTGCACCAGTGATTCAACGCTTTTGCTTAATTAATTTTAATCTCAAGTAATTAAGAAAGGAGATGGTGAATGATCATTTTCATCGAGTCAGAGCCAGTTTATTGGTAGGACTTTTGCAGAAAGTATGAAACACTATAGAAATTCCCCTGCCTCGATAGATCATTCTATTTTAATTATTATCTATTTGCCCCTTACGAGGTAATAAGATCATTCATTATGAATTTATTGGGACAAATAACAAAGTCCTCTAATGAAAACTTCAATTCCAAGAAGCACTGAAATGGAATTTACTCTCAAAATGCTTCCTTCATCCCCCATATTACTTTCCTTTTGAGCAAGAATTTGGAATTTTATTCACAGGATGAAAATAAGAATTTGGATCATTATATAGTTGTCATCAACAATTTCTGTGAAATTTCGATTAATAATTTTAATTCCCAAGCAAAAAGCTTAATTTATACACAAAAAAATAAAAAATAATATACAAAGATCAAAGTCTATCTTTAGAAGATGTTTGACGGTTACATGGCAAAAATGTCAAGGATTGGTTTTTGCAGGAAACTTCCAGTAAGTCATTTCTAAGGAGCTTGGGAGCAATTTGTCAATTTTTACCTTCCTCAGTTAATTCTATTACTGATATAAGATGCTTTTGTATTGAGGTGAGGGGTCATGGTCATTTCGCATTATTTTCTCTCATCTAAGGAGATATTTATAATTTTTTAAGACTATAAAGACTAATTTATATTTTAAATAAACTCAATGAAGTGTATTTATAATTTATTCTAAAAATGTATATACAAATAGTATTTATTTTTAAACAAAAAAATTATTATTTTTTTTATTTTTTGAAACCATTTGCTACAAGTGGACATGTCCCTGTAAATGTCAGCCTCGGTGCATTATATATTAATACTAGATGGAGTATTATATCAGGAGAGAAGGTCACTGCTGCCTTGAAAATTCTCTCCATATCTGAACTAATCATAAATTTATAATGGGAGAATTGATTTACAAGCAAGCCTTGACTTTCTCAGGCGTATGACCAATTTAAAAAATTGGGGCCAACAATCATACTTTTTAAAAATATATATTGATAAAATAGTAATAATTTTTAATTTTTATTTTGACTTGTACCTGCACAAAATTTGGTTATATAAATAAAAACTAAAATTACTAATTTTTTCCTCATGGAAATCACTTCAAATACAAAGTGAGAAATCCAATTTTCAAATATTGCATTAATAACTAAATCAATTATAATTTATTTTTCACAATAATTATATTTGCTAAGCAATTTTATATGATTTTTATGATTGATATAAATCATAGTCATTGACATTAACATAAATCATAATTATTAAGATAAATTTTAAACATTTTTTATTGTAACATTACTATTTTATTCATACTTTTTCTTAACGTAATAGACTAAATTATAAAATTTAATCGACTTCAACTTAATTTTTTTTTTTTAAATTTCTCCATAGATAATTTTAACTGATATAGTCAAACAATATTCTATAAAACAATTCATGCATTTGGCAAACGACCATCTATTGCTTCTACATAATTCACCGATTCAATTGTTTAAAATAAACAAATAAATAATTCATAAACTTGATTTTTAAACTGCTAACACTACAATATAGTTTTGGTTTACTGAAATGAAATTGAATTGAATGAAATGGTTATTCTTTAGTCTCTTTATAAAATGACTATTCCCTCGTAATGGTGAATGATGATTTCTTTTATAATATTTTTTATTATTTTCAGTAAATCAAATGTAAAGATAAACATTATGATGGAATTATTTTATTTTATTTCATTTCATTTCAATCAATCAAAAATAACTTAAGATTGAAAATTATTTAGGTGTCCTATTTTTTAATTGAATTTGTCTTGTCTTGTCTTGTCTTGTCTCAGGCCAGCCCTAGCAACATTCGACAAAAGGGAAAATAATAATAATAATAATAATAATTACAAATATATTAAAAAAACCTTATATCTTCAATTATTAAAGTTCATAAAATTTTTAGAATTACACTAAAGACCTCCAATAATTGAAAGAGGCTCTGGCGTATATAATTAAATTAGTAGACTTTTTAGTCAATTTATATTTTTAAAATTTTTTGGTCATCTAGTCTAGTAGTAGGGGTGGGTATAAAGTTATTCGATTTGCGAAAACCGTCCAAACCGAACTGTTCACACCTATTTGGGTGGTTTTGCAGAATCGTTAGGGTCGGACACGGATTAGGATTTTCTTATTTTGCAGGTTACGGTGGGTCGCGGGCTTTACCCACACTTACACGCGCCTTTATACATTTTTAAAATAAAATTGGACCATCAAATTTTCTTATAACCTTTTTTTTAGAAGGAAAAGATAAAGTTGGTGGCATGTTTTTCTATCTCAGAATCCTTCTCAGCATTTGAGCTCTCTATTGTCTTTGAACAAAGCTTCAAGGTTTGTTTTACAAATTATTTTCTTTATTTTCTAAACCACAAAACAGGGATATAAAACTTTTTTTTCTCTTGAAGAAAATTCTTAGAAAGAGCACTGAGATTTTCTATGAAGATTGAAGATTAAATAAATTATATAAATTTCATTTTCTATGTAGTTTGAGAGTTTGCAAATGTTTTTATTTTATTTTATTTAATGGGTTTGGATGAAGTTTGACAATAATTTATTTTGGTTCCCAACTAGTTATTATTATTGCATTTTGATTTTTGGATGAATGTAAAAGTTAATGAATAATTATTTTTAAGTAAGTTTAGGATTTTGAATGATTTTACTTTAATTATATTGGTATTAGATTAGTGAATGAATTTTTTCAATCTGCAAACCACCCACAACTGCTCGCACATCCACGAACCTTATATGCACAAACAGCAGCCCACACTGCGAGCAGTTGCGGGTTCAATTTTTCCAAACCGCAAACCTAACCATTAAAAACCGATCCCTGAGCATCCCTATCTAGTAGAATCTAAAATTAAAAATAAATAAATAAATAAATAAAATTTATATAAAAAAAGAAAAAAGTTAACTAAAATCCAAAAAATATTCAACAAAAAGTTACTAAAAAAATCAATCCCAAACACTCAAATAATATTGGCCATTTTTTCTATGGGTATTGCATAAAATTAAAATAAGTCTATTATGTGAAATTTCCGTAGTATCTAATGCCAATTAATTGAAAGTATAAGATGTTGAATTAAAGACTAGAATCTTATGGCCAAGTTGTTGTTGGTATTAGTTAGCAAATCTGTATATTTGTTCGCCTCTCGATATCAGTGATTTAATTCTGATTGAATTTGAACCCAATTTATCCAATAAGAAGAACTCATAGTCAAGAATAAATATTACAGAAATTTGTGGTGAATCATATCTTTTGCCTGCAATAAATTCATAATGATTTTGGCATCAACTTCCACAATAATGTTTTTGAGCTCCTAGTTTAATGTCAATGCCTATAGCGATGCCAATGCATCTGCAAAAACTGGCTATTGTGATCCTTGATCAGTCCATTAGTGTTAAGTGCCATCCTTTATTAGTTATTGTTTTGAAGTTATTGGCCAAACGATTAATAAAGTCAGCAATTTTTCTGAATCGAGTTTGTGAAATTGAAGTGAGTTTTTGGGTCAAGGCCCAAATGCCCAATAGGGCTGAAACAATAGCAATGAAATACGTAATTTGGGCTTATTTGAAAGTGGACTGAGGATGAATGGACCAGGGTGTTTGTGACTTTAGCCCAACAAAAGACCAATCGGCCCAAAATATCAACAACATCTTTTGGGGAATGAAATTAAACTCAACAACATAAAAAAAATTATTTCATAGCACATCTGGCAATGTTGCCAATAGATTTGAATAGTCTATTTATACGAATCTCACTTGAACTTCACATAAATGGACGACCTAATTTGTATGTGGCATGGGTATAGTAGCGATTTTATATTGGTGGAGGATTGGTTTTAGTAATAAAAAATTAAAATTAAAATTAAAAAAATTTACTTTACTTCTTTGTGTGTAGATTTGTAGTCAATTAATCTCAATGTTAGTGGTAAAAAAGGTAGTAATTCTTCGTCCATGGTGAAGCAAGAAATTTAACAAACTAAAAATCAAAAAATGAATTATCAATAACGTTTTTATAATTTTTAACCAATTTCTAACTTTTTAATTGCATTTCTAATTTAATCACATTAAATTTATATATATAACTAGGGGTCATGCTGTGATACACAGATATGTACCATATGAAAGTCATGATATTTATGAAGTTAATTATTCCGAATGTCATAACTAAATCATTTTCCCTTATTGTTTAATGACTTCCATTAATAAGGTTTAACCAATAACATATAATATAACAAAAAATGTCATTAAAATAAGTCAGTCTTCGTTTGGCATGCCAAACTTTTTAGTTTTTTGACTATTTTAGTTATAAAAAGACAAAATATACTTTTTAACCCAATAAGACAAAACATCACATCCAAACCATAATCATTTCATTTTTTCTCTCACAAAAAAAAAAAAAAAAACCAAAAAATTTATCCCAAAACTTTTCATTGAATGTAATAAAATAAAATAAAAATTAGCTCCACGTATATAACTTGACTTTTCATCTACTGGCTTTTTTCCCACCAAAACTTTTTTTTGAATTATTTGGAAAAACTATTAGGTATTTCTGGAATATCACGTGTTCATATTCTTTCATTAATTATCATTTATCATATCC